TGATAAATTCCATAAAGTTTATTTTATTCTCAAACTTATTAATCATTATGTAAATTAATTCATGTTTAGTAATAATGCATGCTACTTAGGGATCTATTTTATTAAGATGGTATTACAAAAGTGAAATTCATGTAAAGATAATATTTTGAATTGAATTTATTAAGTTCCCATTTGCTCATAGGTCCTTAATTTTTTTCATTAATGGTCCTTAAAAGTACTTAATTTCCGTGTGCAGAAATGTGTACGAATCCTGGATAGGTGTGAAAATAAAGATTGGCGATTTGTCGGAATCCAGTTTCGTCATCTTCATCTCGTCTTGCCACTCTTCCATCACGACTACACATCATAGTTCTACATATACATACAGTGTCTCACAAAAGTGGTGGGACACTTGTGCTTTACAAAAGGAAACTGTAGTGAAATAAATTCAAAAAAAACATGTAAAAAAATTTTGTGGGTGTGTTTCATACTTAAATTTAGTAACAATTATTACATAACATACATTTTCTCAAAATATTAATTTAATAAAAATACAATTGTTCAGAACAGAGCAAAAAAGGGCTCACATAAGTGATAGGACACTTACTTTTCCATCAAGCACTGATTTTAATTGTTTTGAAGAAATGGTGTGTTTGTGAATTCTTGATTCCAATTCTTGCCAAATATTCGCTATGGGATTTAAGTCTGGAGATTGTGGTGCTGTTTTTATTATTTCAGGATATTTATACAGCAGCCAAAGTCTAACGTTCAAAGCAGTGTGCTTGGGGTCATTGTCCTGATAGAATTTAAAATCGTTATGAAGGTTCAATTTTCATGCTGGAGATTTCAAATTTTGATTTAAAATGTCAATATACTTGTAGTGATCCATTATACTGTCAATAAAAACAAGATTACCAACTTCAGCGGACGACATACACCCCCTTACCATAACTCCTCCTCCATCATGTTTTACTGTTGGCACCAAGTTCTGTTTGCGAAATTCTTCCCTGGGTTTTCTCCACGCCAAGATTCTACCGTCAGAACCAAATATATTAAATTTATTCTCATCAGCAAATATAACTTCATTCCAGCAATCAGAATTCTTATTTATGATGGATTTTGCCAAAGCCAGTCTGAGTTTTCTATTCCTTTCACTTACGAAGAATTTTTTCCTGGCTGCTCTTCCGTGATATCCAGCAGATTGAATTACTCTTCTAATAGTCTCAGGATTAACAATTACTCCATATAAGGCTTGTAAATCAGTAGGAACTGTAGGAGCATTCATTCTTGGATTTTTTTTAATATTTCGAAGGATAATTTGCTTTATTCCATTGGATAGCTTTGATGGTCGGCCAGGTCTTCTTTTATCCTGAATCATATGATTCTTTTTATATCATTTAATGGTATTGAAACCTGTTGAATGACTCAAGTTAACTGTTTCAGCACTTTCTCTAATAGATTTTCCACGTTTAATATGCAAATTAATAACTCATTTTCGAATTTCAGGCAAAGTTTCTTTTCGTTTAGCATTCGTGGCTGCGCAGAATGTCTAAAAAACACAAAAAGTCCAAAACAAACTGGAGAGAAATACTGCAGACGATTTTATAAATTATTGCCAATTGCTTTTGAGTAAAAATAAACCTCCAAAAATATTTTTATTGTAGTAGTAGTAGTATCTAATGTGTCTCATCACTTATGTGAGCCATTTTTTTTGCTCCGTTCTAAAACAATTGTATTTTATTAAATTAATATTTTAATATTTTGAAAAATGTATGTTATGTAAAATTGTTACTAAATTTAAGTATGAAACACACCCAAAAATTTTACATTTTTTTTTTAAATTTTATTACGTTTCCTTTTGTAAAGCACAAGCGTCCCATCACTTTTTGTGAGACACGTATGTACACACATATATGCAGTGTTCACAAATCTCCTTGCTGGTTTATTTTACGCCCTTTATATTTTTGCTATTGTTCATCATAGACTTCAGTTTTAAAAATTTTTAAATGATACAAGAAACATGTTTTTGTATTTCAAATCTAAAAAAAAAAAAAAATTTAAAAATTTCAAAACCAACTTTTTACGTTCCTGATCCCTATACTTACATTAGGTGTTTGGTTTAATTGTTTATGGCAGATTCATGGGCTAGTGCCTGTGGAGAGGAAGCCTTGTGAAGGACTTTTAAGAGAAATGACTGGATCTGCCTTAAAAAAGGGAAAAACCATGAATGCCCATGCAGTCAGCCCATTCATGGAATTAAACCAAGTCAAATTCAGTGTCGCAACTTGTTTCTGCCTGGCTGCTCTTGGCATATTGTTATGTTATACTTAATTATTATTTTAACTCATTATTGCAATAAGTTCCCCAATATTGTAGTTCGGAGGGTATTGTTGAAAATATTTCTCACAATGACTAAATTAAAATAATAGTTTAGGAAAAATAGGGAGATGATGGATTCCTGATATTTATATATTTACTTAACAATACATGTATTGTCTTTTTAAAATTAGAAAAATTTGTGATGAGTTTGAATGAACAAATCATCACAGATATTTAACACTATTATAATACAACTGCTGTTGCTTTATATGTCATTGATTACTTCATATGAGGTCTTCATATTTACCCAGGCTAATTTTTTGATGAAGTATGTCATGCAAAAGATTCTATTCTAATAATTTCAAATTCTATAGTTCTTTAGTCGCTGAAATTTGGCTGGAGATGTATTTAAAATCTATTCATATTTCTGTATTTTAAGGCCAACTTTGTAAAGTGAATGAAGAAATCTTTTCTTTATTGTCGCGTCAACTACCTGCAATGACTTTTATCTCTTCAAGAAGAGTCTGTCAGAGAAACTTTGAAGTATAAAAATATCCTTCTCTCAACAGACTTGTTACCTCACTACAGTGTTGTCTGCATACATTTCTCCCTATCTAGGTTGTTTGTCCTTTGATGTCATTTTTCTTTATTAAATGTACATTTTTTCCAAACTTTCAATAATATGACACAGTTCTTTACTAGTCAATTTAAGACTAAAAAAAAAAAAGAATTTGTTATTAGTTCATAATTTTCCCCTTTTACTTCCTTGTCAAGTAAAAAGGAGTATTGTAATCACGAAAATTTTCAGGCAGCATATTCAACGAAAGTGCATTTTACGTTAGCAATGCATAATGGTTTGCTGATGTCTGTAGGTTGGGACGATAAAATACTCTTTCTTAAAAAAATGATAAAACAACTGTAAACTTAATTTGAGAGATTTGTTCGTCGCGTCTGTACTAACGTTGTTGTGCGAACATACGTACGTATCTCTCAAAAACTTAAAACTGATAGCCTCGACGTTGAATTTGTATATAGGACTGCTATAACAATAATGTGCACTCGTATTTTGTTACAATCGTCGCACCAAACGTTTAAATATATTATATATGTATCCACTCGTATCATCTCTGTGACTCAGTTTTTACGCTTATATTTTTAATTGTATTTTTTGCTTTAAATGAATTATATGTTTTTTTATTAAGGTTTTTAGCCTTAGTAAATTGTATCAAATTTTTAGAATTATCAACATTTAAATTTTTAAGTGCAGCTAAGCCTTTTTTTAATGGCGGCCATGAGTTACATTTGAACATAGACTAGTGAATTTGTGCCAATCTAATAAAATAGCTCGACACAACAAGTAACCACATTCTTTATTATTGCCAATTAAATCATGTTAATTCTTTCGGAACTGTTCGAGGAAATAAGTATTAAGATTTATTTGTAATTTTAATAAGATTTTTAGTTTTAGGTACTTTTGCCTTCTTGCGAAGTGAAAATGAATTAATTAGATAGAAGTACTCATCGTCTGTGAACACTGTTTCTTTTTTGTTTTGTTCGTTAGTTCTTTTATACGTCCTTCTAGCTTTTAAGTATTTGATAACTGTGCAACGGTCGATAATCTATTCTTTAAATGACATAATTGGGCCTTATGAGTTATATATGAACGAAATTATAAAGTTACTGTTATATAATTATGAATATATAACCGTTACTTATTTAGTTATGTACTTATTAAGAAATGTTAACTTTAAAATTATTAATAATGTTAAGTGATCTAACGCCCGTGTCGTAGGTAAACAAAACTATAGTGAATTTTAAAGTGCATTTTATTGGTTGTGGTACGGTGGGAGATATAATTCAACCATAATTAAATGAAATGCAGAAAAATGGTATAGTTAATATTCCAATTCAAGAAGTCCGTGGTGTACACATCAGTTTTTTATTAATATAACATGGCTTCCATGCTAAATTTTTTTCAGCAAACCAAGTGTGAGGCTTTGAATGTATGTTGATAATCACCGCTGCTACAAGATGAGGCTAAGAAGCAGATTCAAAGAAACGGTAAGCTTAATAAATTAGAAATTTTCTACCTTATATTTCCCGAATGACTTTACAAAAAATATTCGGTGCAATTGTGTTAACACACCGAAGCACTTGATTCTGATAATGTTAGATCATGATAGGGAATGAGCCATCAGGGAGACAAAAAATTGCGAGATAAAAAAAAAAGATTGTCTCTTCACAACTCGTCATAGTCACACTTTATGCTTACCTTGAGTATTCCAGTTTCTTGCAATGAATTTCTTATGTGCAGCCCCGCAAATTATGCTATGTTTTAAAATTCCAGTCATGAGAAAGAAAGTCAAAATGAAATTGAGAATTTTCTTTTGAGCGATATTATACCTTTCATCCCTGACTAAATCCATAATTTTATGGTATTTGAGGGCTAAAAAACCTGGTGCGCCCTCTTCCCAATTTGGAAATAGTTAAAGAGCTGCTGTATCAAAGAAGAATTTTTTTAATCAATGAAAATTTTTTTAAAGTTTATTCGAAGCAAATTAGATTCCTGCATTAACTGGAATTACACATAGTTAAATTTTATCCCTCCCACTTAATTTCTAAGATTCTGAAGTTCAAGAAAGTGATTTATTGAAAAAAACTTTTATAGTTGTACTGTTTGTAATGGATATTTTTTAATATAGAACATGAATCTTTTGATGTATTTAGATGGACAGTAAAGATTGGGATTAGTACAGGTACAGAAATACAAAATTTAGATGATCATACTTCAAGTGTTGTTAAAGTTTGCTACTGTGAATATACTAGACAAAGATTTACTGATCATCATCTAGTGAAAGATGGTGTGCGCCAGAGACCTTCATCCGGTTTCGTCCTTTGGTAGTATTTAACTTTAAAACTTCAAAATTTGAAAATAATTCTTAAAACATTATTTTTAAATATTGGTTAAAGTTTATAGCATAATAGTTGTAGGTCCTAAAATTCTGCGGCGTTTGGAATCAATTTTTGGTGCTTAAAGTCCTAATTTGACCAAATTCGGCAGGAGGTCCATATTTTATCATCTGGAATTTGTCTGTTTTAAGAACCTTTGATGTGAATTAGACTTTTGGACAACTATTTTGGCGTTCACAAAAATTATAGTTATCTTTGAATGGGTGAATAGTCATGATTATAATTTTTTTATTTTTAAATACTGGTGGTAATAAAGTTTCGAGGACAGTGGACATAAGCATTTGGAAAGTATTCATTTTTTAATGAATGCTATGAACAATTTCCCTTTGGGAATGTGAATTCTTATAAATGGTCCAGATTTGGAGTCTTTACATTTGGCGATTTAATCAGTTTCGTAGAAATTTGGGGTTGTAAGACAGAATTTGTTTTGGTCTGCGCTTGCATGCTGCATTAGTTCCTACACCTTGTAATCGTATTATCCGTCTTGCGTATCGTGCCAATATTTGAATTGTTAACGATAACTACATTACGATGTACGAGCCAGCTCGGTAAAAATTAAATTGTGTATTTTTGACTACTGTCACATATTGTTGAATTTGACTGTCCGTTAATTAGATCATATAGGTGCAGTGATTTGTAGCATAGAAAATGCCTTTATGTCTAAGGTCTTAAATAAGAGTTATTAACGTTATCGACTTTGTAGTTACTTTCAGACATAGCGATAATTTGCTTCACGTCTGTAATGGCTATTGACTATTTAACTTTTATCAGATCAGGTAAAACCTTATAGGTACATTGTGGTGAGATTGACAAGTTAGGAGATAAAACACACATAAACTAGTGAGAATATTGGTTTGCATATTGAAACAAATTTCTAATTGTTGGAAAAGATGCTTAAAGAGAAGGAAATTGATATAAATTATTCAGAATGTCTGGAAAGGCTTCAGATTAAAAAGATGCAGATATATTTTGTTGAGTATTGTTGCTGCAAAACATAAATGTTTTGTAACTTTCAATGTGTAATTATCCTAATATCATTTAAGAATCAAATGTCATAAATTTCATGTATTTTAATTGAGCTTTCCAGACATCTGATAATTTATATCAATCCTTCTCTTTAAGATCTTTCCAACAATTAGAAATTGTTTCAAATGCAAACCAATATTCTCACTAGTTATGTGTGTTTATCTCCTAACTTGTCAATATCACCACAATGTACATAAGTTTTACCTGATCTGATAAAAGTTAAATAGTCAATAGCCATTACAGACGTGAAGCAAATTATCGCTATGTCTGAAAGTAACTACAAAGTCAGATAAACGTTTAAATAAACCTCTTATTTAAAAAGACCTTAGAACATAAAAGGCATGTTTCTATGCTAGCAAAATCAACTGCAGCCTATAGTGATCTAATTAAACAGGGACAGTCAAATTCAAACTAAATATGTAGACTAGTAGTCAAAAACTACACAATTTAATTTTTACCTAAGCTGGCTCAGTAACATGTCGTAATGTAGTTATCGTGTAACAAATTCAAATATTGGCAACGATAACGCAAAGACGGATAATTACGAATTACCAAAGGTGGTAGGAACTAATGCAGCATGCAAGCGAAGACCAGAAACAAATTCTGTCTTACAACCCCAAATTTTCTACAGAAACTGATATTAGAATCGCCAAAATGTTAAAAGATCTCCAAATCTGGAACCATTTAATAAAGAATTCACATTCCCAAAAGGGAAAATTGTTTAAGAGCACTTCATTAGGAAAAATGAAATACTTTCAAAATGCTTATGTTTCACTGTTCCTCAGAAACTTTATTATCCCACCATTTATATTAGAAATATGAAAAAATTATAATCCATGAACGTATTCACCCATTCAAAAGATAACTATAATATTTGTTAATGAATCGCCAAAAATATTTGTCCAAAATTCTAATTCACATTCAAAATGGTAGTCTTAAAAACAGACAGAAATTCCAGATGATTAAAATTATGGACCTCCTGCCGAATTTGGTCAAAATTAAGGACTTTTAAAGCACCAAAAATTGATTCCAAACACCTACAGAATTTTAAGGACCGTACAAACTATTATGCTTATAAAACATTTAACACAATATTTAAAAAATGAATGTTTTAAGAATTATTTTCAAATTTTGAAGTTTTAAATTTAAATACATACCAAAGGACAGAAATGCAGGATGAAGGTCTCTGGCGCACATCCCATACTTTCACCATAGATGATGATGCAGTAAATGCTTGTCTAGTATATTCACAGTAGCAAACTTTAACAACACTTGAAGTATGATCATCTAAATTTTGTATTTCTGTACCTGTACTTAAATCCCAAATCTTTACTGTGCCATCTAAAGTACATCAAAAGATCATGTTCTATATTAAAAAATATCCAGTTACTAAAAGTACAACTATAAAAGTTTTTTGCAATAAATCACTTTCTTGAAGAACTTTCAGAAATCTTAGAAATGTAAGTGGGAGGGATAAATTTAACTATAGTGTAATTCCAGTTAATGCAGGAATCTAATTTGCTTCAGAATAAACTTTAAAAAAATTTTTCATTGATTAAAAAAAATTGCTTCTTTGATACAGCAGCTATTTAACTATTATCCTAAATTTGGGGAAGAGGGCAGCACCAGTTTTTTAGCCACTTCAAATACCATAAAAATTATGGTATTTTAAGTCAGGGAACTGATTTTAATATAACTGCTCACAAAAGAAAAATTCTCAAATTTCATTTTGACTTTCTTTCTCTAAGCCTGCAACAGAAAAGCTTTTAAGCTCAATGAGCTGGAATTTTGAAAAAAACATAGCATAATTCTGGTGCTGTGCCACATAAAGAATCATTCATCTGCCAAGAATACACTGGAATGTACTCAAGGTAAGCATAACAGATGTTGACTATGACGAGATTGTTGCAAGAGACAAATTTTTTTTTTATCATGCAATTTTTTTGTCTCCACTGATGGCTCTCATTCCCTATCACTGCTCTAAGCATTTCATTCAGAATCAAAGTGCTTCTGTGTTGTTAACACAATTGCACCTAATATTTTTTGTTAAAAGTCATTCGGGGGAAAATATAAAGGTAGAAAATTTGCTAATTTTATAAGTATGTACTCTTTTCTTTGAATATCTGCATTCTTAGCCTCATTCTGTGTAGCAGCTGTGCATTATCAACATACCATTTCAAAGCCTGCAACACTTGGTTATGCTTGTAAAAAATTTTAGCCTTGGAAGTCCATGATTACTATTAATAAAAAAACTGATGTGTACACCACATGACTTCCTTGAATTGGAATATTGAACTATACGCATTTTTTCTCGCATTTCATTTAAACTTATTGGATTGAATTATATTACTTCGCGACCAGCCGCATAAACAACAACAGAAAATGACCTTTAAATCACTCTCGATTGTTTACATAGCGACATGGCGCTAGATTCATTAACGTATTAAAATTATAACCGAACATATATAATAATATATACAAAACAGTTAATGTATATATTCAATAATATACAGTTAACTTATATATTCGTTCATATTACTATAATGCACAAAATTGATGTCATTTAAAGATAGAATTATCTAATCGTGCCACTGTTCTATTCAAATAGATAATAAGCTGATGATGTAAAAAGAAATAAGCGAACAAAACAAAAAGAAAACAGTTTTCACAGACGATGATATTTCTCATTTAATTAATTCAGTTCCACTTCGCAAGAAGGCAAAGAATAAAAACTCAAAATATCTAATTAAAAATTACAAAGTAAATCTTAAAACTTATTCCTGAAAAGTTCAGAAAGATTAACATGATTTAATGGCCAATAAAGGTGTTATCTTGTTGTTCGAAGCACGTCTTAGATGGCAACAATCACTAGTCTCCTGTTCAAATGAAACATCAATGGCCCGCCATAAAAAAAGGCTAGCTGCACTAGACAACTTTTAAAAGTGATATTCTAAAAATATTGATACAGATTACTAAGGCATAAAAACCTAAAAAAAACAAATAATACAATCATTTAAAGCAAAAAATATACATTTACAACCTATAAGAGTAAGAACTGAGATCACAGAGCAGGATAACAGGGGGATACATAATAATATATTTATATACGTTTGGTGCGGACGATTGCAACCAAATACGAGGTGCACATCTAATGTATAGCAGTCTATATACAAAATTTCAACGTTCTGAGGCTACTCATTTTTAAGTTGCGATACGTACGATGTTCGCACAACATAGTTCGTACAGGACGCGACGAAAAATTTCTCTTCAGAATTATTTACAGTTGTTTTATCATTTTGAAGGAAAGAGTATTTATTCTGTCCCAACCTACAGATATCATGCAAAAACGTCATTAAATTGCATTCGATAACGGTCAAAATGGATACTTTCGTTGAAATATGCTGCCTGAAACTTTTCGTGATTACAATACTTCCTTTTTACTTCGTACAAGGAAGTAAAAAGGGGAAAATTTATGATGAGACATCAATAACAAAATTCTTTTTTTTTTTTTAGTCTTAAAATTGACTAGTAAAGAACTGTATCATATTTACATTTGAAAGTTATGAGAAAAAGAATAGTACAATTTTAAATAAAGGAAAAAATGACATCAAAGGAAACAAATAACCATAGATACTTGAGAAATGTTATGCAGGTTACAAGCACTGTAGTGATGTAACAAGTCTGTTGGAGAGAAGGATATTTTTATTACTTCAAAAAGTGATCTGATCACTCTTCTGAGAGATAAAATTCATTGCAGGTAGTTTGACGAGACAATAAAGAAAAGATTTCTTTCATTGCAGCTTTACAAAGTTGGCCATAAAATTAACAGAAATATTTGAAATAGAGTTTAAATACATCTCAGAATTTCAGCGACTAAAGAACTATGAAGAATTTGAAATTAT